TTTAAAGAACTTCGTACAAGTATTCAATGACGATAAAATGGTTTAGCGTCAGAGTAATTTACCAGATACTGACAATGACAGATTTTGAAACAGAATTTGTCTTTTGGGTTAGTTAAAGGGTAGGGCGAATTTTTGTTAAATACACCCAGGTTTGTATGTTCACAGATTGTATTTCGTACATAATAATATTGTTTTTGTGAGAGTCAAACCTGATAGGCCAATTTGACCAATGAAATGAACAGATCATGAATTGAGAATTTTAGTCCACGATTAATGTCCATAAAAATAGCATATTCATCATGTGTAAATTCTGACCAAGAAAGCATATATATATATATCACTTCTTAGAGACTTGAAATAAAACATTCCGAAAAAGTTTCTGTAAACCACTATAATTTTATGTACAGATAAACCAAGAAGATGAGTACAAGTAGTTAAAGTCGAGAAAGGTCCGCTTGGTGAGCACGACAAATATAATGGACTTCCCTAAGAAGCTTCTGTATGTATCTAGCAACCAATGAAATAACAGCATAAAAAATGGAATGTTCTTCCGACGTATCCAAAAAGTTAACTCAAACACGCCTCGTGTATAATAAAAAGGTGTGTTATATTTCTGAACTTTTAGATTGAGGCGTGTTTGAGTTCAATGTTGTCTAATGGGATCCAACATATATTCGTGATTAAGATACTTGATGGTATTTTCACTTTTTGTGACGTTTAATTTCGATTTTATTACATAAAAAATATCAAGTGAAACATAAACAAAGAATGATTGAATATCTCTCCATAAATACTTATAATAGAATATTCCAGAAACGTTTCTGTTAAGGATTATGTACCCTTGTATTGATTCAATGCTAAACATAAGGAAATTTTATAGAAAATCCACAGCCTTTCCGCTTGTACTCTCATATTTGACAATTAGATGCTTGATAGATACAAGATTATTGCATGCAGTGCTAGCAATAATTCCTTTAAAACAAGTTTATAAATTCAGATATTGGTTAAAACAAATATGAATATGGACCAGTTCAAGTACACCTTTTAGGGTGCGCTCGACTTTAGTGACCCAGCACGAGGTGTTTTGGAATTTACAGGTTGTTTAGAACTTTTTGTAAACAATAAACGCTTGCTGATCATAGAAAAACAAGTGAGTAATCTATGTTTAAAATTTTATAACAAAAATCTCTGTATTAAAGCCTGTGGATTTTCTACAAAAATTTTGGTTTTATTTTCACCAAATGCTCTTTTTCTACTAAATGCAATTAAACTATAAATAATAATGCTTTACACGAAGTTTCCCCTTGACATATATACAAAATGGTCCATCTCTGAGCTCTTTTATTCATTATCTTTCGTAATTGACAGGCCACAGAAGGGGTCATAAACCTTAACTGCTATACGTATAGCTTAGCCAATCAGACAAGTACACTGAAGCCGAGTAAGGTCCACTTGATAAGCACGACAAGAAAAATGAAACCTTCCTGTGAAGCTTCTATACGTATCGAACAGCCAATGAAACAACAGCATTACGAATGGAATATTCCTCCAACGTATCCGATGTATCTACAAAGTATGCTGTTTAACTCAACCAATCAAATGTTGTACATCATAAGTGGAGTAAAATGGAATGTTCCTCCAACGTATCTACGAAGTTTTCTGTTTAACTCAACCAATCAAATATTGTACATTGAACGATGAGTAAAATGAAAGATTCCCACGACGTATTTGACGTATAATTCAATCTCTGAAGTGGGTGTAACTAGGGGGCTGCTCAAAATCAACATGAACCGCTTTAAAGGGAGGGCACTTTTTTGATAAATATAAAAACACAGACAACGGAACATAGGGGTGGTGTTTCAGGTGTGTAACATTCAACAATCTCTATGATAAGAAGAGCAAACATAGTTGTGCTCCTTTTCAACACATCTTGAAGCGCAAGCCGTAAAAGCAACAGCAAATGCTTGATTGATTGTTGTTTGTTTAATATCTAGTGGTAAATATTTCATGTTCAGGACGAACAAAAGATATAAAAATATACAGTAGGGATTATTGAAAGGTATGGGTAAACCGGGATAAAGAAATTTTTGCACTTGTACAAAATTATTGTAGAGTCCGCAATTTTTTAATTTTCATATTCCTGTATTTATATAATATATGTGTAATAAATTTGCACAAAATTCTTCGATAAATAAAAAAAGTTTTACAGCTGATAGTATATGAAATCGTATTTGTTTTTCTCCACCAAGAAAACGGTAGACCATGTATAAAGGTTTCTTCTTAATATATGTGTATGGCTTTATAAAACTTGATGTTATTGTATAATCGTATGTCACGACGAATCTTTGAAAGTTCAATAAAACACTACTATTCTCAAGAATTATATGATATTTCGTGAAAGCGTAGACAAGACGAGGTTGAAGGCTAATAGTTACTGAAAATAATTATAAAAAAGTGATTTCTTTTAACTTTAATGCATTTAAAAAATCCAAAAGTAAAGGCTCTTCAAGTCCGACTTCTATTCGAAAGAACACTTTCATGACTAAGACAGTATGCAATAATCTTATTCTAATAATTTGTCAAATCAAATTAAATGCAAGCGCTGTTATTTTTATATTCAAACACGCCTACCTTGTTATGATGACGCATTACAAAGATATTTGACCTATATATTTTGTTTTCTGGTAATATGAAATTTGAATGTTGATATATACATATAGCTTTAAAATATATAAATAATGAAATTTGAAGCGAGATGATATACTCTTTGTTTCTGTATACAACATTTAAAGGACGAAACAGGTGACCCAAACAAGCTTGAATAGAAAAGGTGTACCTGACTTTCTTAAAGATTTTTTTTTTCAAAATACTGTTACCGGGGCAGAGATGCAAGTCGATGCTTTTACAGAAAATCTCTTACGTTTATATGTAAATTCATGTAAATTAATGCATGCATCTACAAGATTCAAAATAATATATAACCTACCAAAGTCAGTAGTTATGTGACAATTTGCATTAGATTAAAACTATTCTAACTTTTTTTTTCTGAATTCCGTCCAAGTAAAGTTTCTATTTAGGGATAAATACGAAGCAAATCACCATACTCACACATTGTTCAACGAACATAAAGATGTATTGCAAAGCATTGCCCAATATGAAATGCTCCCAACTTGCATGCCTGCATGAAGTAAAAATAACCAAAAATAATAATTTAATACATTTCGCCAGGACTTTTTTTTTTTGTGAAAATGCCTAAATAACCTTGTTCTCAAAAATCATACTGAATGTATTTATAAATAAGGAAAACGGAAGATTTTTTTTTTCTACACAAGTTTTGAGCCATTCTTTAGTAGTTAGAGAGCACTCGAAAGAAGTAAGGTGCACTCGAATTTCGAAGTTACATTTTGTGCTGATTTATATCTTTAAATATCATTATTCAGTACCTCAATGTTCTGTATATAAATAACGCATATAGTAGAAACCTAGTACACATGACAAAATACCACTTTTTGATTTAATCAATACATTTTTATTGATTCATCGGTTCAGAAAATAAAACCCATTTTAACTGGATCGCACGTATATGAATACTTCGATACTTCAGTTCTACAACAGCTCTATTTGCTATAAGAACAACTTTTCACGAACATTTTTTAACTGTACCAAAACCACACTTTTTTAGTCTCAAGTTTTTTTTTATGCTTTATCTGATGTTTGTTAATTCAAATTAAACACATTAAATCAAGGATTTGTATAATGTTACTATACAAATCCTTGATTAAATAAAGAAACAAAAGTTTTTTAACGCATAAAAGTAATTGCTTTGACTAATTTCTTAAGTTTCTTTTTACAAATAGAAATTTTGTTATCTCATACTTTGAAAAATACGAATTCAAAAATTCCTTATAATAGGTTTAATATGAAATGGATTTAAAAAATTGTAATAACGAATTCGAAAAAATAATGAGTCTGAGCTATTATTACAAAATTTAATATTTGTAATTCTAATATCTGACTGATACTAAATAGGTTAATACGAATTTTTACAAATTAATAACAATATATTTTTCAACAATTTTTCGTAATAAAAATTTCAAAACTGAAAAAAAAAAATTGTCAATATCAAATCAAAAGTGCCATATATGAAAATAAAATAGAAATTCGGTAACGCCGCTTATTACAAATTCTTAATAACAATTTCACTGTAGCAACAGTTCCCTACATACAATCAACATTATGTGAATTTATTACAATGTACAACTAGTTCTTTAATTTGATATCTCAAATGGTCTTAGTTCGTAATTAGAAAAGAACAAAAATACTTTCAGGTCGGTTATTATTGAATTCTTATCGTCCAGTGGCAAATATTTCACCTACAGGCCGAGAACAAATTATCAATGAATCCATTAATAGGTTCTGTTAAATACAGGCTTTCCATACCAAAGGGATATTCAAGCTCATAAGTCGACGACAAACAGACAACGCCATGACAAAAAAAAACCCTCGAAAAACGACCAAACAACAGTCGACACAAAACTAAAGATTGGCAACATAACGTAAGTTAACCACGAAATTGGGTATGAAATATGGACTGCTACAGCATAGTTTATAGTACTTAAAAACAAATTCTCTGAATTAAATCAGAAATATCAAGTCATTACAATGATCATTTTTGATGATCCATTACTACTAACTGTAGACAATTCGATATTAAAGTTTTCAGGAATTTGTTCCAACGAATTACAATTTTCATTATAACAAAATGTAATTCTCGTTTCTTACATATTCAACTGATTATTGCGAATTTGTTGTTTACAGCTATTAAACAAATACTGGAAGATTGTTGTGATTCGCAGTGCAGGGAATTCGTTATAACAGTTTTTTTTAGTTCATCATTACAAATGAATTTTTTTTTTATAGATTGAACTAATATTAAGACGGAATTGTAATAACGAATTTAGATAATCCATTATGATATAAATCCTTCATAACGATTAAAATCCGAATTCAAATTTTATTTTTGCTAAGTTTCATCTGGATGTTTGTTATCTTCCTTAAGTTCATCCCCAATGCTCAAATATTTCCATGATCTCATTTCTTCGTCTTCTTACACCGACATACTGATAATGGTCTGTTATATTTTCCCATTCATTTATCCTAACATAAAGGCGCCTAATGCACCTAACAGTAAACCTTTTACAAGGCCTTTCTTTTTCTCCTTTCGTTGTTTCTTCTTAACCTGGTACTTAGAGTTTGAATTACGTTTCTTCTCTCGAATTAATTTTCGTAGTCTTCGATTTTCCCTTTTAATGTCTTGTAAGGGATTTCTCCCAACTCCTGCCATTGGTAATTTATCATATTTTATATGCATATCCTGTAACCTTGCGTTTAGCCTGGTATTTATTTTCAGTTCTCTTTCAATAGGGTCAAATCCACTGTTAGGTACATTTAACAAATCAACTGGTATGACACCGGGAAAGTTATCTCTCATTGGTCCAGGTTGGAATGAACTTCCGGTAGCCAAAAATGGTAAATCACCACGTCCAACATCTGGTCTTGGTGGTGAGAGGTTTCCATCAAACGGTAAAACACCATGACCTGGACTTAGACGTGACTGACCAACACCAAAGCGTGACCTAAATGGTGACTCTGGTCCACCAGGTATTGTATCTGGACTGAAAGGTGTTTGTGGTCCACCTGGTCCAAAACCTTGAACTGACTGTGACCTTCCATTTACTCCAGTGAATGGAAATCTGCCTTGTTGTAGCCCTAATGAAGTTTGAGCATTATTAAAATTGTTTGTTTGGAGTAAATTATTTGGTAAAGCTGTATTAGGTATGCCTGGGACAGTACCGTCGGCCGATCCAATAGGATTTGTTGGCAATAGCTGATCTGGAGAAAAGGAACCAAATCGTTGGTTGAATCCGTCTGGAGAATTAAAGTTCTGTAGCTGTGACGTTGACCCCATTGTTTGTAATACTTGTTGGGCCACTTGATTAAATAGTTGTTGTCCTTGCTGTTCGTTTAATCCTAGAGGTTGAGCATTGATGATATTCGCTACACGTTGCCCTTGTAGGTTTTGATTGCTTTGGCCTGCACCCCATGTTCCAAAAGGATTTGTCAATCCAGGCCTAAACTGGCAATAAATTTCTGTAAATACAAAGTAAAATATAAACTTATTTGAAAAATGAACCTTGAATGTGTTGAGGTTAAGGGCATCCGTAACAGTTTTGATCCCACGGTGATTTTTTTAACGAAAATTTGCATACAAGCTATTTTTCACCTAGTCAATGCAAATATGTAATAAAAAATATACCTTCATGTGCTACTTTAAGAGAAAAATGGGGTCGACATTTTAAACATTTACTCAAAATTTCGTTTTTTGGAACATTTCTATCCTTTGGATAGACATACCTAACTTTTTTGTTTCAAAAGATAAACACAATAGGATTTTTGTAAAAACATTTGGAAAATCTCTTTTACATAAGTATGCTCTAAATTTTTATAACAATTCTTTGGAAATAATTAATTTTTATCAAAGTTTCAGGATTTTAGGACAAAAACGGATTTTTTGCTGTATACTTATCTAATTTTAAAAAATCTCATCGGTGACTTTTTCGTAAAAATTGGTACAAATAATCTTCATACGTAATCAATCCTAATGTCATTTTAAGAAAGAGGGGTCCATGAACTCGTTTTCAAGTTATATCAGTCTGAATGATAAAAATAAGTCGAAAATGCATATTTTCCCGATATGTCGCAGTTCGACGTCGCGAAAAATAACATTTTACGTTGGCAGCGTCATTACCTCCCCTGTAACTGTATCGTATGCCCTATAACCAGTTGTATGTGCGCATAAACCTCCTTCACCTGTTTAGACCACATTTCCTAAAAACTAAAACACAATTTATAACTAGAGGCTCTCAAGAGCCTGTGTCGTTCACCTGTATTTACTGATGCTTTGGAAATCATGTAAAATAAGGTTAAAATCATAATTAATAGTATTAGATATTAGATATTATAATGATATCTAAGATAATAACAAAAAACTGCAAAATTTTTGTAAAAGTACTAACTCAGGGGCAGCAACCCAACAACGGGTTGTCGGATTCGTCTGAAAATTTCAGGGCAGATAAACTAAATCTGATGAACATTTTTGCCACCTGTCGGATTTGCTCTAAATGCTTTAGTTTCAGAGATATAAACCCAAAACTGCATTTTACCCCTATGTTCTATTTTTAACCAAGTCGGCCATGATGGTTGGAAGGCGGGGTCATCGGACAAATTTTTTAAACTAAATACCCTAATAATGATTATGGCCAAGTATGGTTAAATTTGTCTCAGTAGTTTAAGAGAAGAAGATTTTTGTAAAAGATTACAAAAATTAACGAAAAATTGTTAAAAATTGACTATAAAGGGCAATAACTCCTAAAGGGGTCGACTGACCATTTTGGTCATGACGACTTATTTGTAGATCTTACTTTGCTGAACATTATTGCTGTTTACAGTTTATCTCTATCTATAATAATATTCAAAATAATAACCAAAAACTGCAAAATTTCCTTAAAATTACCAATTCAGGGGCAGCAACCCAACAACAGGTTGTCAGATTTGTCTGAAAATTTCAGGGCAGATAGATCTTGACCTGATAATCAGTTTTATCCTGTCAGATTTACTCTAAATGCTTTGGTTTCAGAGATATAAGCCAAAATCTACATTTTACCCCTATGTTCTATTTTTAGCCATGGTGGCCATCTTGGTTGGTTGGCGGGGTTATCGGACACATTTTTTAAACTAAATACCATAATGATGATTGTGGCTAAGTTTGATTAAATTTGGCCCAGTCGTTTCAGAGGAGAAGATTTTTGTAAAAAGCTAACGACGACGGACGACGGACGCCAAGTGATGAGAAAAGCTTACTTGGCTCTTTGAGCCAGGTGAGCTAAAAAACCTGCACAGCACAGATGCCAAAAGGATGCAAATTAACTTGAACAAGGAAATTAAAAACGACACATAATTTGGAGATCAGGGTCAAAATGTGCCCACACATGACTGTAGCTAGCGGATATCAATCTCTGCGAGGTTAGCCAAAAGAACTGGCTATAGACGAACGCAAATATTAAAACATCTGAGTCACGTTTAATATTTTTTATCTAAAATTACCGGTAAGTAGCATGTACGGCGTTTTTTTTTTAGTAAATTTGATACTGGCTAAAATGTATAATTTGTTTCAACTCTTAAAGTTTGTTAATATATGTACGAGACACTATACAAAAACTACGTATACAAACTATTATTATTTTTGCCAACAAGATCGCCATATGGCCATTTATAGCTTGCTATGCGGTATGGGTTTTCCTCAATGTTGAAGGCCGTACGATGAACTAAAGAGTCTAACCTTCTACGCCATTTGGTCTCTGGTGAGGAGTTGTTGCATTGTCAATCATACCATATCTTCTTATTTTTATATCGGTTGGTAAAAATCCCTTTGAAAGGTATGATAATATCTAATAATACCTACCAGATACTGACAGAACCAGGAGTAGCAATCCTTGGGTTACTAACATAGTCCGGCTGCAAAGTTAATAAATATATAATTATTATCGCAGTTAATAAAATCAATTATTGTTGTTACACACATTTCCATCATATACATTATGGTTTTAAAGATTGATTGACTGATTGATGTTTAACGCCACTTTCAACACTATTGTGCTATTTTGTGGCGGTCTGGTTTCATTGGTGGAGGAAGCCGGAGTGCCCAGAGGGAACCACCGACCTTCGGTAGGAAAACTTACAATTCTAGTCAATTAAGATTGGATTCGAGGGCACATGCCCCGTGCGGGATTCGAACTCACAACCTCAGTGTTGACTGGCTAGAGATACAGTATTTCGACTACTTAGACCACGCGGCAACCGAGGCCTCTTGGTTTTAAAGAAGATAACTGACTAATTGCCTATTTATTAACGGTAATTTCATATTTTGCGACACATGTACTTTGTCTGCTGTTACGACTGTATTATTATTGGTTGCTGCATAATTAAAATACCGTGTTCCCGGTCAAATAAAAAACGACAGTTCACATGTGAATATTTACAGTAGGTGTTTAATTCATACAAATTATAATCTTTTAATGGCTGAAAGATGAATCATTTTATTCCGTCGTATCTTTTCAATTTGTAGGAAAACAACCGATGTCGTATGAAACCAACCCATACTGTATGAAAACAACCCATGTCGTATGAAAGCAACCCTTATCGTAAGAAAACAACCCATGTCGTATGAAACCAACCCATACCATATGAAAATAACCCACAATTATACATGATCTAGATTTAAGTGAAAACATTAAGCAGTAAACATTGCACCAAGGTCAGAGTTAGGACAATTTCCAATAGATGTATACGTAGAAGAATAAGCACTTAAATATACGACAATGATATCTAACATTGAAGTTAGTCCTTTGTTATATGATGCATATCCGTCGTCATCTGTAAAACATATATTCCATAACGGTCAACCAACTCGTGATAGCGTCTGTAAATTTTTTCGAAAGTATGGTTTCAAATTCACCACATGGAAATCTTGGTTTAATAGCTACCTGGTAAGCAGCAATCCTCTATAAAATCATGATTTGGAATATCGCATCAATTGGGAGATATAAACTCCATATGCAGGCGCTGCTGGAATGTTGATACATAGAAATGGAAAGTTCAGTATTGGGAAGCTAAAATCATCTCTTTTGTCGTCAAGTTTTGTTTTCAGTCGACTCTCATTGTCAATTTCCAGATTTGATTAAAGATATGGAATAGACTGTATATGTTGTATCCTTTATTTCAATTCCGATTGGACAGATGCGTTCAACATAGCCAGCAAACTTTGAACTTTTTAGTGAAAGGACATCATCTTAATAGAGGAACGTGAAGTTAAAATAATGCTAGCTTCTTTTCAATCTTCATGAAAAGCTGCTGTATGAAGTGAGCCTCATACGAATAAAGGAGCATATCAGCAAGAAGAGGAGCACAGCTAGTCACCATGGGAATGCCGATATTTTGTTGAAAAAAAAACGTCCTCCAATCGTAACAAATATGTTGTCAATCAAGAAATCCGCATCTTGAAAATGTAATTTTCAGAAAATCTTTTGTTTGAATCAAAGCGATTAAACGATTTATCCCTAACTAAGACAAGAAACCTGTCTACGTTGGCAATTATTTTTTATAAAACATAGCAGGATCAATTCTTTCAATTTGGCTTTTAGTCTGGAATAGGGAATAATTGTGTAAACGGTAGAGAAGTAAAAAGTTTTAATACTATTGCAAGAGGAAAGAGACTCGGTATGTCTCTATGAGATCTTTGGAATTTTTAAGTATCTACAACATTGATGTTAAGATAAAATAGATAATGAGGAACATTTCTTATTCACATGTATAGAAAATGAAAACTTGAGACTCGATTTTTTACAGAAAGTAAAAAAAAAATCTTTTCAAATATTTATGATATGGATAATTATGATAAATTGGTTATATGTCTTTCATGTACATTAAAATTTCATGGTCACTGAGGAAAATATAAGAGATGTGGTATGATTGCCAATGAGACAACAATCCACCAGAGCTCAAATGCGGTGGCAATTATAAGTTACCGTATAGCAGTCAACAATGAGAAAAAACATACTGCTTATTCAGCTATTAAATGCCCCGACATGAAAAATGTGAATAAATTATAACTGGAAAACTTACGGCCTAATTTATAACAATTCAATTAAAGAAAAGTAGTATGACAGACATGAACCTACGACAAGCACTGAATTACATGTTCCTGGCTTTGGACAGTCACATAAAGAATGTGCGGGTTAAACATGTTTTTTAGCGCTAAACTCTCCCCCTAATCTGGGACAGTTGTGTGACAGCAAAACATAAAAACAAACTGTAAAAATCAGCTGCATATGTGTTAACTCAATAGATCGGAACGAAGCACAAGAAAGATTTCACATTAAAACAATAGACACAAAGCACCGATTTAAGAGTATTCTCAGTTACTATAAGTTAGTTAAAAGTCAGTTACGACTAATGTTAAATCATGTTCTCCCAGACTAAAGAATCAAGTCAGTACACATCCAACAAATTTTGTGTAAAACGTCATAAATAATCTGATAAACTTGTAAATATGAAAAATTGATACGAAATTTGATAAATATTTTACAAGCTATCTACTTTCAAATTAATATCTTCATTGTTCCAATTTTAGTTATATGACATATACTTGATGTCACGAAGAATGATACCGTTTTGATCTCACTGCACAATTTTTGTTTTTGTTTTTATTCAAAATGTTAATGATATATATTTCATCTATAAGATATAAGAGTTTAATGCTGTATTTTTGAAAATTTATACGAAATGAAAGGTAGTGACCTTTACATTTTGGATGAAGCGCTGAAGCATATATATTTAAAAAAAACAGATGGCCAATGAATAATGTCTACCCCTTGTACTTTTTTGGTCTTTGTTTAAACTTAGGTCTACATTTAGTTTATATCATTGAAAATTAAAATAATGCAATTGAACATGTTTCATATATAGTTCAGTTTAAAAAAAAGACAATGAATGGCTGTGTTGAATGTTTTGAATATCAGTGAACTCGTTGTGATTTATTGTTGATGTATGTGTATGTTATTTTCGAAAGACACAATCATAATATTGACGGTTGTGTATTTCGTATTCACCATTCTGTTCATATTATTTTTTAAACTTTTCTGTAATTTCAATCGTATTTTCAAATTCGGTGTTAGGGACTGTATTTCTTTACATTACACTGGAAATAATATTGGCTTTGTATATTTTTGTCATGGGTGTATCGATATCAATACCATTTTAAACTACATAGAACATATGATCGCGATTTAATCTTTTATTTGTTGAAGCAAATAATCACATGGAATTTTGAAAAGAATGAGACATAAGAACTTACTGTTTAGTAGACTGAATCCCTTTTCTATTGTATGTTTGGTATCATCAGTATAGGCATACCATTGACCATTGTATTTTATCATTTGTCACCTAACCTGTCAAGTCTTTATTGACAAATATGTCAGACCAGATTAACTGACGTATGTCGAATTGACGTATACATGTAATTTACACATTAAACGGATAGATGGCTATCTATGTTTATATTTAATGCTGCCGGCCATATTGGGAGGAAAAAATGTATATGGTACTGAAATTTTGATTAGTTCAGCTTAAATTTTAAAGACAGACGGCGATATCGGTTTGTTTTGTTTGTTATGTTATCGTTGTTAATGGGAATAGTAAGGCCATTTCTAGGAACCGATTTTAGAAACAAAAAACTTTCACATTACCCTGAATATGTAACAAAATCATATGAGACTACACTTGTCATATTCCTTCCCTAAACAAGACTGTACCAGAGTCTACGGACTTATGGTGAATAATTGTCAAAATAATACTTTTTATGTATAACAACGTAATATTCCCTGTGGTATGCCACCAAACAGAACCTAATGATATTTCTAATGAAGTTTTTGACTCGAGGGAATGATATAGATCTTTTTATTCAACATGTACAATACACAAATTCTCATAATTTTCACATACAGACAGTGAAAAATAAGGATATGTGGTATGATTGCCAATAAGACAACATTCCAAAAAAGACCAAAGGACAATATGTTTATTCAGTATGTAGATGGTTTGGAACCACACGGACTCGGTTAGCAGATTCAAAAATATTTATCAATATTTTTCGTATATTCTGTCAAAAAATCCTGTTGATAAAGTAATACCAATAGACAGGAAATGTGGAAAAAAAATTAAAAACTTTGATTAAAATTTTTCAATCTGCTAACCGAGTCCATGTGCTTCTAACAGCTCAAGAAGGTCAAATAAAAGGCACTAACATTCCATTTTTATGTTGTGATTTTAATAGTGTAAAGTTTAATTATAAAAATGTATGTGTGTGTGTACAATAGGGACTTTTCCTTTAGTCTATTATGTGCAAGTTCAAATCTGAACGTGTCTATATTCTAACGCTTTGTTTAGAGCCTTTTTCGTTGATTTCGTTGTATGGTTCTTTTAAGGGAAGCATTGTCTTTTCGTATTTCTCTCAGTGTTTTAGTCTTCTTGTTCTTGTGTTGTTGCTTCGCCTTATCAATTCTCTTTCTTAATAATGCATTTGCCTTTCGTATTTCTTTCATAAGCTTTCTCTTTGAACCTTGAATTACTATGGAATCTTTCTCATTTTGAATGTCATAAAGCATTTTATTTAATCGGTCATTCTTGGTTAATCCTTTTCCTATTTTATGCTTACGCATTTCTAAAGCTTCGCCGTGAACGACTAAAGTGTCTCCGCCATATTGAATATCATTCAATAATTTTGTTAATCGTTCATTCTCTGCTAGACCTTTTCCTATATTTGAAGAGTACTTATCTACAAAAGTAACAGGACCATTTATATTTGGATTGGGGATATGTAACTGAGTTTGTAGATTTCTATTGTCTGCCAGTGTTAATCCAATCGGATGACTTTGGTCAATAACAAATGAAGATGGAACATAATTTTGCTGCTGACGACTTGATTGTTGGATACTAACTGTATTTGTGTTATCTATTATGATTGGAGTTTGTTGGTTTTTCTGTCGTCTTGCATGAAAAATCTGTTTCCTAACCTTAGCATTTTCTTGTTTTATCTGCTTTTTGGTCATTGCTTTTGATTTCCTCCTTTGCTTTTTAGATTTTACGATTAGATTTTTTAGTGCAGTGTTGGATTTTCGTATTTCTTTAATTGTCTTTCTCTTTGAACCTTGGACAAGTAAGGAATGGTTATCGTTGTGGATATCATCAAGACGTTTACTGAGCCTTCCATTTTTAGATAAAGCCTTTCCTATCGGGTGATTGTGTATATCTAATACCTCTCCATGGACAACCAATGTATCTCCGCCATTTTGTATATCATTTAGAACTTTTGCTAGACGTTCGTTCTTTGCAAGTCCTTTTCCTATTTTAGATTTGTGTTTATTAACAAGTGAACCCACAACATTGGCGTTGTGGATTCCATTATCAAGACCGTGTAGAGTTGTTCTCAAATGCTGATTTTCTGCTAAAGCTGCTTCAATTTGATTGCTTTTCTGTATCACAGAAACATTTGGTAAGGCAAATCTCTTCACACGTTGTCCATAGCTATTCCATGCACCTAATGTCGAACTAAGTCTCGCATCATTATTATTAGATGACCCTGCGTAAAGTCCACCTGGTAGTACATTTGGTATTATTTGTTGTGATGTAAATCCTGAAGCAAATCTTGATGTTACCGCGGGCACTGTAGAGTCAAAATTATCATGAATGTTCACTCTTTCTGCCATGCGATCAATGTTGTAGACATTAGCAGTTTCCTGGACATGAGATGTATGTAGACGCTGACTAACTTGTGGTCTTATTAATGATGGACGATTTCCATTGTTGTAATTACTATTTCCATGTCCATTTACCGCTACAAAAATAAAAAAAAAATATATGAAACTTTTAAAACTGAAGTAAGTGACGCAAATCGTAATTAGTATAGTATCTTATCACCATTTTCGAACAATATGAAACGGAGTAAATGTTTTTGTCATGAATACTGTCTTAATTTAAATATAATAATAATAATATTGTATGGTATATCCCTTTACTCGGAATATTTAGATAATAATATTGTATGGTATATCCCTTTACTCGGAATATTAAGATAATAATATTGTATGGTATATCCCTTTACTCGGAATATTTAGATAATAATATTGTATATGGTATATCCCTTTACTCGGAATACTTAGATAATAATATCGTATGGTATATCCCTTTACTCGGAATGCTTAGATAATAATATTGTATGGTATATCCCTTTACTCGGAATACTTAGATAATAACATTGTATGGTATATCCCTTTACTCGGAAAAGGAGGCACATATAAACTTCTGTTACTTTTATGTTGTATAACGGTCCAGTGACTAATAGTTCATGATTATTCACCAAGATTGAATTGACAATTAATACAATAGGTATATTGTGCAAAGTATGTCGATGGAGATGAAGAGTGGAAAATTTTAACTGCCACTATAGAAATGAAGATCTGATTGATAGGGACAGAAATTTTGCAGACCAATAGGCCCATTTCAACGGATTCATTAGAGAGATGTTGCAAGGGTGTTATAAAATGCAGAGAGCGCGACACTCGTCCTATGCACGGGGCATCGGATGTAATGTTCAAGATTGTATGGTATTTCGCTTTATTCTGAATAAACTATTGTTATTTAATGTTGAAAGGTTGTTTTCTTTTAATCGGAAGGGGAACGGCATTTTAATAATTGTTATTTTCATATTGTAGGGGTATAGCCCTTTTAAGGGGGTGCATATAAACTGTTGTTATTTTACTATCGCATTGGTATAAGAATGGGTACTTGTTAAAAAGTAAAACTAGTTCAAATAAATATAAATATATTGAATAAATCTGAGTCAAATAATTAAAAAAACCGAAAGAAATAGGAGTCCATGCCCAAAGTGTCTGTGTTTCAGATAAGTAAATTAACATTTTAGTTTTGATGTTTCACAGATTGATCGATCGTTTAAATTCCAATAACATGAATGTCCACACTTGACATATTATAATTATTCATAATTTTGATAGCTTAAATACGATGTTCCGTCAATAGTTTATTCTGACAATTATTCAAGCCAACATCTAACAGGGTAATTTATTATACTGGAATGGGCCATACTTGTGATGACTTTTTTTTTTTTGAAGAAATTATATACAAGAAAGCATTCAGTGGTTCGAGAAGAAACGGACCTTGTTTGTGTTATTATTAGTTGTTAACAGAATTATAATAAAAATATAGAGGAATACTTTATAACTAATCAGAATTCTACCAGAGTATCTAATACTTACATGTAAAGGTCAGATAAAGAAAAGCTATAAGTTGAACAGTTATAACCATATCTTTATATTATTCTTCTGAAACGTGAAATAATATTGAAAGTTATCAGTTCATTCAAAGGGTAATTTCCTCCCTTTCGAGATAATTTTAGAACCACTGATTTGTAAGAACAGGTGAAAACTATGTAATAAGATAAGGCCATTTTATATTTTATATATTACATGAACTAAATTAACTTATAAAAAATCATAATCAGCGGAATGCATTGAGTTATTGAATGAAGTGTTGAAGTGGTATTGTATTATAGTGTTACATTAACTCGTTTTAACACCTTACCTTTCAGAATAGTTTCCTTTTACTATGTGTGTTTTCTAATTAGTCAAACATTTTATTTATATGACCATGCTGTCAGATTAACAAATTGACCTCTGTTTTAGGCGACCGGACACGAAGTGACGTATTGATTTTGCAACATAATTTGTTAAGCTTTGACAAGTCTTACAGCATATTATATATTCTTGTAGAACGGGTACATAATACGACACGAGAATGTGATTCACCGAACAGAACGGGAAAATTTCTTGGATAATCCAACAGTAAATGTTAAATTTCTTCCGTCCGAGAATACTAACGTAAAAAAAATAAGCACATATATTCTACCGCCACCGGTGTGACGTCAGCGATTTGAAAATCATCAAGAAAGCAGCGGATTGACATTTGTATTGGTAGTTTCGAAACTCCTTCAGTGTTCCAAAGTATATTTATTTCACTGATTGTTATACTGGGAACAAGCTTTCTCTAAGCTTCCACGGATGGAAGCAATTTTTCTAGATGTTTATCTATTATTAGAAAATGTATTACATAATGTAAATTATTTGTATGAGTTTTCATTCAAACATGCAAGTTTTTGTTTATTATTGTTACATGATGTTTAGTAATATCACAGGTATAGAAATATATGTAAAGACAAAATTATCTTTAAAGAAAGTAAAGAATTTTATTTGATAGATGAAAATATGAAGGCCAATACTTTTGTTTAATATCATGTTCTGTAAATCATACTCAAACTTTATCCGGAGGACGAATTTATAAAAGTTTTTGAAAACTTCTTTTTGAATCCCATATTTGACCACTATGTAAAATTGTATTATAATCATGTTGTTATAATTTTCAATAATAAATACTCTTTAAACTAAACTTCAAGTAATCGCCCCGTTTTCTCCTTTTCAGTTTTCTTTAATTTTTTTAAGTAAAGATACTTTCACTGTGAGGAAATTTGGTGAATTGTATAAGAGATGATTGGTTGAGCTGTTCGAAATGTGGCCAAAGTCTGTAATCGGAAATGACAATCATATGTAAACGGAAGAGTTTTTGCGTGACCAATGGTGCATAATAAACACCAAAATGACCTTTAAAACGGCATATGTGCCATAACGGCATCTGAAGAAGCTTGTGTGCCATCACGGCATCTGGAGAAGAGAAATTGATATGATATATCAAAACAGAAGAATGTCCACATTATAATCTATTCTTAAGCTTAGTGTATTATGTTTTACTATTAGACCTTTTCAACAACTCTCGACACCGACTATTGACACCTAGGCCGAGTTCACTTGAAACTCTACAGTTAACTTTACTAACTCGGGTTTCAACAATCCGAGTTTACTCGAACCTCTCGGGTTAACCCCTCTTACCCCGGTTCCAACCCTCACTAATTAAGCCAGGGTTAAACTCGAGAAACCCTCGAATGACGTCAAATTAATCAGATTTTTTCCTTTTTTTATGCTTAGTCAGGGCCTTACCCTAGAGTTACTTAGAGTTGTTCCGAATAGCAACTCGAGTGCGTTCACGTGATACTCTTGAAACTCTATTATAGTGGACTTTAGAGTTTCAAGTGAACTCGGCCCATCAGTTTACAGGTAAAATTAAGGTGTCGTCTCAAAATTAAAAATCATTCATGAATTGTATTGCGTTTACACCTTCGATTTGTCGATTTTACACTAAACACTAAAGAACATATTTCAAACAAATATGAATTATAAGGATCTCTTGTGTATTACATTCTAATTACATGTATTTATACGACATTTTACGTTGAATTTTTTAACGTTCAAGTAAATAATTACTGCAATCATGTCACATCGTAATCTGCCTTTTTTCCTCTTAAATTTTATGATTATGTGGGAATTTAGATAAGCGAGTCTGTCAACGCAGATTGTTCCACATGCCAATCACGATTATTTCGTTTTTGTAATGCTATTTGGGAAATTTTGCGGAAGGAACATTGTAAATGGACTGTCCGTCCGCCCGCTAGATTTTGTGTTTCTCAACCGATCTTCAGGTTACTTGTTGTACACATTAAATTTTAGGAGGGGTAAAAGCCTATTGGTTTAAAGGTCAAAGGAAAAGGCAACATCGATAATTTAGTAACGAGGGACTACTCCGCTTCAAGATGCCATGCTAAAGTTGAGGTGTTTCCTTAATGAACTTGAAACATTAACGGCACCATTTTTTCAGCGTCACATGTGCATTTTGACAATTAATGTCTCTTCGGTGATGCGTATGGTATATTTATCTCAACAGAGCTTGTTGTCTATGCAGTGTCTTTTTGGACAGTGCTGAACTGATTGACCATAACAAAGGGAAGGTTTTAGATCCAATTATACTAGTAAAACCCCGCCGCATGTTATACGCACCTGAAACATTTCCTGACACGTTGGTCATTGCAATTGGTAAGATTTTGTCACAATAGAATTTTAGTTTACAATTTGATATTTTGACATTATGCTTCGCTCTAATATTTCTTTCCTTTTTATTAGAAAAAATAAAGTAACGTTGTTTCCTTTTCTTTCCTTTTTTGGGGTTAGGGATGGGGGTCTTTATTCAAAATGCAGTCCATGCGTTACCTCTGGATGTCTGTTTTATATGTTGCATTGTGTGATTTTTTTTTCCTACTGCGGAAGTCATAAAAATAGCAAGAGAACGAAAAAAAAATAAAATAAATTACGATTTGAATCTGAATCTGAAACAGAAGAGACACCAAGGGCCTTTAAAAATCTTGGTATCTATTTTATTATGAACGTATTGTACTCCAGGTGATTCTCGCGAATGAGATTCATTTATGGGCGGTATTTTGCGGTAAGTTTGTTTTGGTCGTACAACAGTAGGGCGAGGCAATTAATCAGCTTCCTCCTCTCTCTCTGGTAAGCTACGGCATTTTGTTGCCGGGAAGCAGGTCCAGCGACATCACAATAAGCCGGATGATTTAAAGAGAAAGAGTCGCAATTTAAATTGCATTGTCGCTGAATATCGATTTCCTGTTGAACATCAAATTGGTAAACTAAAACTAAATAAAGTAATGAGTATATTGAGTCATCTGAAGCCAAAATTAACGGACATTGTAAAAAGATGTACCGCCCTAGTCAACAGACATAAACATTGATTAATTAAACATCTACTACAAAAATACAGGTTTGTTTTCTTTTTTTTTCATTTTCCAACTCGGCGTCTAAAAGAAAATGAAGCATTGCATTCCTTCCTTTTCTTCATTGTCAATTCACAAATAAGTTAAATTTGATAAGCAAATACTTAATAAACCAAAAAAGGTACGGTACACAAAAAATGTCATGTTGAATAGTTGTCTCATTGGCAATCAAAATAATAATATGTGATCAATAATTTTTTTTTTTAATTTTATTTTTGAGACGACCCCTCATATCTCACCTGTCGTAGTCGTTCTCAACTGTAGGTGTAGACTATTGTTGTAAAGGTCTATTACTAGGGAGCAATGTCCTTTGTTATACTACTTTGGTATGAGAACTTCTCATGGTAATCTTCAACCCAAATTTAATAATTAAATGGATTATCCCGACGACTTCCCTTTTTTGATGGTAATTTTCCTTTTCTTGTCCAGAAATATATATATATATAAATAAGAAGATGTGGTATGAGTGCCAATGAGACAACAACTCTCCATCCAAGTCACAATGTCACGGTAAAGAGTAAACAATTATAGGTCAAAGTACCCATAGCATTCAACACGGAGCCTTTGCTCACCCGAACAGCAAGCTATAAAGGGCCTCAACATGACTAGTGTAAAACAATTCAAACAGGAAAACCAACGGTCTAATCTATATAAAACACGAGAAACGAGAAACACTTATGAACTACACCAACAAACGACAACCACTGAATAACAGGCTCCTGACTTAGGACAGGTGCATACAAATGCAGCGGGTTTAAACGTTTTAACAGGCGCCAAACTTCACCCTAACCTGAAACAGTAGTGTAACATTACAACATAAAAAGACACACTATAAAATATCAATTGAAATATGCCCTTTTGAACTTTGTAAAAAAGATCCCTCCCTTTCAATACAATAGAAATACTATACGCCCCAGCCCCACCCCTGACCCGGGGTTAAAAGTGATAATTTCCTAAGGTAATATTCCAAGGAATGGCTTCACCTTAGGCGTCGACTGAAAAAAAACCGTGCCAAATGACCTACTTTTATGTCATATGTTCTTTTTTTCTGTAGTCAGCTTTCTTATCGTGCTTAGTAGCTTATATTTTTTTATTTGTTTTTGCTTTATACATAGCTTATCATGCTTATGAAATCTGGTTACTATTCACCATATTGAATTGTTGTCGGCTTCATAGTATGCTCAGCATATATGAAATATATGTTTTATTCATTTACGCATTTTTCCTTGTACTGCCTTGAATGTTGATTAAAATGTTATGTATTTATTTTTTAAACTATGTTGACTCATAATAAAGCTTCTTTTTTTTTTTATCTCTGGGAATACGATACACTGTCAGCACTGCAGCTGGGACGGTAATAAATAAGGCACTGGCTACGGTTACATGGAAATGTAACAATAATATAAAAATTATTGTTACATTGGAGACTAATTGCCGGAATCCAGGGTTGGGTAAGGAACCGATTAATTACGAATGTAACAATAACATTGCGTTATTGTTACATTAACGCACTGCAATGTACGATGGGCCTAGTAATATGTATTAGAATAAAACTTGTAAACTTTTATTTGATATTTAAATATTGCATGCATACAATATTTAAAATTTTTATTTACAATGACAGTTTCTACAAATCTAGTATGTTGTTTTTTTAGCATGTTTTAGTCCTACGCATTTTTGGTGAAACCACTCTTAGCAGCCATCACAAACCATTGATACGGCAAATGTGCACGCTCTGTATTGCAATTCCATTCTGCACTTTCCCTTTTTGAACTGAGTTAAAGAAACTTTCAATGTCTGCTATGCTTCAGGTGAAAAATATTTTTTTTACTCTTGCAATGTTTATATGTTCGCCCAATTTTTTGTTGGAAGCACGTGAGGTTGTTTAAATATAAGTCAATTGTGAAAGCAACTAATGTTGAAATGAGCCGACAGCTTGAAACTGGTGGAAACAGTGTTTTCATTTTCAGAGTCCAGATATTTTGTGATCGTAATTTCGTTCTTATTGGTGACAGTAAATGCTCTATTGAACAGTTCATTAAGTATTCGTCAATAGTGCCATCGTACTAAACTATAGTAGTTTCTTTAACAACATCAAAACAATCAATACTTAAAAATTTGTTGAATAATAATATGATTATTACTATTATTATCTCGTACATATCGAAGAATTAAGCAACAAAACTATAGAAGGTTTAAGTTTAACAAATCTAGCGTACATTGCAGTCTTTAATGTAACAATAACGCAATGTAACCCTAGACCCAAATATTATTGTTACATTCGTAATTAATCGGTTCCTTACCCAACCCTGCATTCCGGCAATTAGTCTCTAATGTAACAATAATTTTTATATTATTGTTACATTTCCATGTAACCGTAGCCAGTGCCAATAAATAAACATGATAGATAGATATTACCCCACATTATTTGGTAGTGATTTAAATTATTGTATTCAGCATTGTTAAGATTTAACTATAATCAATTCTGTAAATAATTTAACATTTTATGCTATTAAAACCTGAGACTGCATATATGTTATAGTAGTCTCAGTTTATACAGAATCTTATTTTCTCTGTACAAATTTTGTTCGTTTCTCTTCCGACATTTGTTTACATTTTTAATTTCTTTGATAGCTATCATTTCAGCGTTTTTAGTTATAGACGAAATAGACTTTTATGTAAGCTTAAATAATACACAGACGAAAACTTTTTTTAATTTAATTTTTATTTTTACAAACTAAAAACGACAATCTTAGCCTGAACCCAAGACAAACTGAATGAGGTAACGGTTTAACGTCAATTTTTGTGGTCAGAGATAACAAATGTGACCTGTTTATATCAGTGAAATATTTCACATTTTATCTGTTGAAAACTGTTGAATGGTACATTTGTATGTATCATTGAAAAACATCCACATGTCCATTGAAAATTGATTTAAGGTTCATCATAACCTTTTGGCTAATATGGCCGTATTTACACCTCAAATTTTACTCTTAGTACAGACAAACCTGTGCACCTGGAAAATTTTTAAGGCATGGCAGGAACTTGAGAATTAAATTTTAAATGCATTTTATGTAAGAAAATTATAAACTTTTCTGGATTTTGGACTTTTCTTTTTTTTTTTTTCCCCCAGAAGGTGCCCAAATAAACTAAGTTTGGATCAATGTTTGAGATGACCCCTATGTAAATAATTGTAATGAGTTGTATTGATTAACTGGACAATAGATGAACAATAGATATCTACACAACAATAGGTGATATAAACTGTGTAAATGAGTGCACCATAACTTGGGTGTTTGTTTATTTTATTACCTTCTGCAGGCTTAAAAAAAAAAGAATCTCAAATTCCTGGTAAGTGTTTTATTTCTGCATGTTCTGAAACATAAAATGCATTCAAATTTTATTTACATACATTTGTAGTTCCTGCCATCATGTCCATTCCTTAAATCTTTTCTTGGTCCACAGTTTTGTCTGTACTCAGAGTAAAGTTTGTGGTGTAAATCGGCCATATTTTTCAATTCCTTATGATGAACTTTAAGGTTAAGGTTCATCACAACCTTTTTCTCAAATATGGCCGTGTTTACACCTTAAAATTCATTCTGAATACAGGAAAATTAGTGCGAATGGAAACATTTCATAAAGGGAATTTCAGGATTTGCAGATCAACTCCCTATTATTCTGCAATAAGATGTATGTTTTTTTAGATACTGACTACTGCATGTGAGTCATGTGTATGTATGTACATTTAATCTCAGTATAAGCCTCTTTCTTAGTTTCAAGAGTTATGGTAAAAAAGAAGACATTTTGCACACTGTATCAGACTAGATTAATGTGAACATTTGCCTACCAAGTTCCCAAGCCTGCCTGTGACAGGTTTTCCTACCAGAAATTAAATTTCCCTTAAACATGAATGAAATACTATGCAATAAAACATTTGAACATACCCACTTCATATGATTCTCTTATCATCAAAATATAAAAAAGTGCATAATACATGTATATATACAAAATAAGAGACAAGATCACCTGAATGTCGCACAAATGCCATGGCATTGAAGGGAAAACAAGTAAGGTCAAATTGGATTCCAAACCTATGCTGCTCAATACCCAGCTGTATTCCTGGTATCGAGAACTCAAAATTCTTGGAAAGAAACTTCAAAACCATTAGGGGAACGACTAAACATGCTAAAACCTAAGACTAAAAGAAGATTGGTCTGATAGTTTCCCACATGGAAACTATTAATAGATCCCATTTGGTAAGCACATGTCTCAAACAAACCTGAAAATATCTAAAGAAGATTTCCTCAACCGAAAAAATAAAAGAAGAATGTGTCTGAGGACACAAATGCCCCTGCTCAAGCTTTGCAACAAAAAAGGGATGGAAAGACTGAAGGACGCACAGTCAAAGGTAACGCTTAATGCCCTCTTTGCCTACGGAGGGCGCATACAAATATATAATTCAAAACATTTGTATACAGTGTTTGGATAATTAAATGAAACCAATTTGAAACTACTAGTCTATTTCGATGATGTTAAAAGATTCTCTCGGCAAAACTTTTCATGTCAGCTCTAATCAACATGGCATTCAACTTCTTTATGTATTTTCCTCCAGTATGTTATATAATTTATATTACTGTTAAATGCTATGTAAATCATTTACAGGGTATTTAGACAAACTGCATGAAAAGATTGAAATAGACAATTCAAATGGGTAAACATTCTGACAGTGACAGTGAGAAGAAGAAAAGAAAAAAGAAGAAAAAGAAAAGATCAAGGTCAAGGTAATATTAGAAAAGATACATAATTGAATAACCATTCATTTGCAGATACTATATATACATGTACCATTGTGTGCAGCTCTTAAAAAAAAAGGACCATAGATAAAATGTTGCACACAAGACACAAAAAAAAAACCCAACAGCAGACACAAAAATAGGAAATCAAAGTTACACACAAGACCAAAAAAAACAAATATATATGAACATTAAATCCAAAAGTTATGAAAAGACTAATACAAAGACGACAAATGTCCTGAACAGTAAATCTAAAGGTAACAGGTTCCACACAAGATCCAGAAGACACAACCATAAAAGTAAACAAATGAACAGTATATATCTAAAGGTTGCATACAAGATCCAGAAGACACAAAAATAAAAGAAAACAAATGAACAGTATATATCTAAAGGTTGCACACAAGATCCAGAAAACACAACCATAAAAGTAAACAAATGAACAGTATATATATCTAAAGGTTGCACACAAGATCCAGAAAACACAACCATAAAAGTAAACAAATGAACAGTATATATCTAAAGGTTGCACACAAGATCCAGAAAACACAACCATAAGAGTAAACAAATGAACAGTATATATATCTAAAGGTTGCACACAAGATCCAGAAAACACAACCATAAAAGTAAACAAATGAACAGTATATATCTTAAGGTTGCACACAAGATCCAGAAAACACAAAAATGAAAATAAATCCGTCAACAATGATGAGGATGCCACATTTTTATGGCAAACAAAATATAGTATATGTATTCCATACCTCAATATTGATAGCAAATATTTTCATTTTTCAGATCAAGTAGTGTTGCGAAGTCAATTAAGTTAACTAATACTTGTCAATTAGAATTTATTGCTTAATTTACAAGTATTCAAAGAGCGATTAAAAGTTCAAATAAATGTTTTTCACTGAGACACTGGCCGAGATCTGACGAATTCTGGTGTGATCGAATTGTGTCCTGAAGTCCAAAATGAGAGATCTTATATAGTCTAGTGGTCCATACAAACGGTCCATAGCTGTAGGCCGGTTACGTAGTAGTCTGGTTGTGGAGTAATACTAGTCCGTGGTTAATTGTCAAACTATGCAATTAACCCCTGACGGATACATGTTATTTCACAGTAGACATGGTCATTTAGTGGCTGCAGGATATATGTCAATAATATTCGTACAGATTGTTATTAAGTGTCTAAAGGTTACATGTAATCGTCTCGGTTTTGCTGTATGTAGTTACTTCCTGATGATTATCGTATGGAACACAATTGTGTTACATAATGCCTTCCCTCCAAAATAGAACGAAAGTTCAATAAAATACGGTATTTTTCTTCCTGTAGGTTATTCTAATAGTTTATTGAAAGGTTTCCGGTAACCATCACCACATATCTAAAGTTTATAAAGTTCTACGAGTCCAATATCATGATATAATAAGTTCATCACATTCATCAAGTCCAATAGCTGGATATATTTACACATAGTTCATTCGAATCATAAGTTCAATATTTCGGTATACATAGTTCATGTTTTATTTCCATCACCATCATAGTAAGTTGTTCCTCAATACTGGGTAGGAACGCAAATGTTTATACAATTCTATTTACACAGTTCATAGGGTCACTTTTAAAATTATTTACACGGTTTGTCTTCTGCTAGTGGATTCGGTCGTCTACGTTGTATGGTTTACAATCCAGTCCTTTTACGAAGTAGTCGACGTATCTAGCTCTGGGTACATCTTTCTCAAGAGACTGGTAGCATCGGTCTTCGGTCTTGCATCGTCTTTGAGTAATGGTGCAGAGGGAATCTTCTCTCTGGAATCAGGTACTTCTGTCCCAACCATTTGCGTTGTCACCATTTGGTACCCATCGTTCGTGGCATTAGAACCCGAACTCACACCTTTCTTTTTGGCTAACCAAGATTTGTTTCTAAAAAACTTACAGTACAAAAATATAGCTATTCCAATGAATATCGCACCCAAACCCAGGGATAAACCTACTCCCCAATTTGGAAATTCAAAATCGTTTTCAATTCCCCTTAAATTTCTAAGTTTTTCAATCAAAGCGTTCATAGGAATTTGTTTAATCGCCTTTAGTTCTCTTGGTAGTTCAAGCTTTGTAAAATTTGGCAAAGCAGCATGAAAGGGTTCCCATAAACTTGTATTCAGTACTTGAAAGGTATTTAAGAATCTTTCGAACGTTTTTTCTGTTAAAAATGTACTTTCCATTTGATAAGTAGGTAATAAGGTCAAATGATCACTCGTAGCGGTACAAGTTCGCTTTAAATTAATTATAGTGGTAGGAGGATTAATTATCTGATCCGTCAACATGTTTGTATTGTCATCACATCTAATAGTGATTCTAAATTCATTAATGGTTGTAACTGCCCACATACTATCGGTCAAATAAGTTGCCATAGGCAAAATTGTGTTTGGTCGTACTTTCACTGTACATCTTGTTTTCCAATTTTCTTTATTGGCAAATAAGGCTATGATACATAATTTACTTAAATTAACTGGATAAACTGGACTTTTAATTTCACAAAAATTAACTAAAGGATTGGAACACTTGTCAATTTCATTGGTATTTAGCAGCATATATTTAGTTTTTTCTTGGTTTGCAGCAATAACTTCTGCTTCTAATTCATACTGAGCAACCATATTGCTCGAGTCAGATTGTTTATCAGTTATCGTAGTAGGAACAGGCAAGTTGTGAATCTTATAAATTTCATAAGTGTCTCTTATATCTAGTAATGGTAACGTAATGATAATGATTATTTTGTTTTCGTCCAAAACTGTACTACAGGTCAAAAATTTATAAAAATTCCAAATATCTTTAACTTCGTCACCAGGTATCTTTAATGTCGCCGGTAGTCGTCGTTTTATGTCAGTCAATAATACTCGTAAATTACCGGGTGATATCACTACAAAAGTCCAAAAGTCTGAAAAGACCAGTTTTTGTCTCGATTTGCATGAACTTTTACTCGACATTCTCTTTTTGTATGAATTTTTTGTAAAAATTCTCGACAGAGTCTGAATTTGTCTGAAATAAGTATCTAGATTCTCGACATATGTCTCGACTATCTGTATTATTACTTGATTTTTCTCGACATATGTCTTGACAGTATTAATATTGTCTGAAAATTCTCGACACTTTCTCGACAGTCTCAAAAGTGTCTTGATTTGTCTCGACCTATTCTCGACTGTCTTGGATTTGTCTCGATAAGTCTCGACATATTCTTGACATTCTTAATGATGTCTGAATATGTCTCGACACATTCTTGACATTCTTAATGATGTATGAATATGTCTCGACACATTCTTGACGGTCTTAATGATGTCTTAATATGTCTCGACACATTCTCGACAGTATAAATTTCATCTGAATTGTGTATCGACGCATTCTTACAGTCTAAACACTTTCTTGAGCTGTTTTATATTCATTTCTATTATGGCTTAACTAAACCTAGAAGAATTAGAATACAATAACACAATGCAAATTATAAAAACAATAATTTGGTACAATAATTGTTTATTAACCATATAAACATTTAATATTATGCATGTAAAATGAAATATGTCTACAGTATGATTGATTTCAATTATTAAGCACTTATTTATTATATTTATAAATTAACATTTGTAATTATTTACAAACCCACATTTAAATTGGTTTATATTTAACCATACTCACATTTGTATTTGTAACATTTTTATACCAATATTTGTTTTTATCAAAATATTTACATATAAACATTTTAATACAAAATATTTAATTGCCAAAATTTTGTTTTAGTAGTAATAAGTGTAACTTGAAATATAACAGTAAATTCTAGAAAGAGAAATAAAGCAAAATATATGTCCTGTACAATGGTCGTAATTTGAAAGCTCAGAACTAATTTTTTTTCAATTACAGAAGAAAGTAGGATTTGAAATGTGTGTTTTCGTTTCCACATTTTTGCACTACATTTCTGCATTTTTATAAAACTCTTTTCCTCATTGTTTTTTACATTGATAATACTGACCGAAACCAAATGAGGACATGAAATTGAGTGTCCAAAAAAGAAATCAAGCATATGCAAATTAATATAAAAGATATAACCAAATACTGATTTCAACACATATGGGGCGACTTTCCACATGGTGACTTTTAAAAAGTACTCGCAATGTTAAGGTAGATCATATGTATAAGTTTCCCGAGATAGAATCTTGTTATACTTTTCTAAAATGAAGACTTTTATGCTCTTTTCAAAAATATAATAAAAAGGATGGGTCACAGTGCTATTTTTAAAACTATGAGTCGTTGAAAATGGTCTAAATTTATTTAGAAGGTTCATGCAAAAACACATTTTTGTGCCAAAAAAAAATCTATGAGATAGAATTTTGAAATAAATTGTGAGAAGATAGGTTTTATAATATGTTTAAAGAAAAAAAAAGAAAAAATGGTGTCACCGAACTTGTTTTCTTGCTACAAGCAAAAATTTCCCTATCAGACCAGTATAATATTTTTACTAAAAGAGTTATCTCCCCTTAAATGGCTCAGTTGAACAAATTGATTGTAAAACACAAATGTTTGGTATTTGTCAAATATTTTGGATAATGCAATAAATTAGCAAGTTTCCTTCATATAAATAAACAGTCTAACCAATAAAGTTGCACATTTGTCTACAAATTTGCAGATTTGAGCAGATAACTAGACTGATTGTGTACTGCGATAGTACAATCCAAGATGGCAGTATACCATGAATCTACCTTAAATCTGAATATAATCTACCTGTTGAAGGAATTAAGAAAATACAAATTAAGAAAAAATACTATAATAAAATTAAGTCTTATATATCATTATTTCCACTTTTTACAGGTGAAATACAGGTAAAAATGCGTAAAGGTGGTAACTATTTATTTTGGAAAAGTAATGCAAGAAAATGCGGAAACGTGAAACTGGAATTTTGCTAAAAATTTGGAAACGTAATACACCCTTTGAAATGAATATCTCATAGAAAATAGCAAACTTGACTTCCATTTAAAAAATCTCTTAACACTTGAATAAAACCTTTTATCCAATAATTTTTTTCTTTTGAACAACTCTATCTATATACAGCCAGAAAATACATAACAAAGGAATTTCTGTACCTTTCCAAGTATATAAAAAGAACTATTTCTCTACTTCATACAAAATACATACATGTATAAATGCATATCTAAACATTTAAAAACCATATTTTATTGTCTTCTAAAGCAAATACAACTGGATTGCTTATTTTATCAAAGCTAAATATATGTGTGTCAATCTTTTTGTCATCAGTGACCAAGAATTGTCCAGATTGTTCCGGAATAGGAAACATCTCCAATTTTACCCACATGGTAGCTTTATCTTGATGGTTGTGAAGGAAAATCTTATTAATTGTTCCAAGGCGAAGGTTTGTCCTATGCGAAACACTAACACAATAGTCATGTGAGCATGATGCCGTTGTCTGATGCTCTGTTGTTGAAAAGAAAATTTGTCGTTTTAACTCTGCATCCTGTCTTTGGCTGAACTTAAGATATGTGACCACTGGGTCTATGTCAAATAACTCATAACTTTGGTTATATATACTATTGTAATTGTCTCGTAGAATCGATAGATCGTCACTTTGCAACATGAATCTTTTTGTAGATGATGTAGATATATCTTGATGGTGAATGGAATTAACTTTTTCTGCCATGCGACACAAACTTGTTTGTCTGCTGCAATTTAAAATTTCACCGCTCAAAATGTTGTAGGAGCTCCAATCGTATATCTGAAATATAAATTAAGAAAATTAATTTATGCATACTAGAGTAAGTGAGTGATATGTGATAAATTGTATCTAAACAAGTCTGTAGGCCTGAACTCTTGAAAGCCAAATCAGAAAATTATAAACAGATATTGTTAAGTGTAAGTGTTAGTTTTAAATTTGTTTGCAACTGTCTTAAATCAGGTACCTGATGTTCAGTTGTTGTCGTTTGTTGATGTGGTTCATAAGTGTTTTTCATTTCTCGTTTTTTATATAGATTAGACGGTTGTTTTTCCTATTTTAATGGTTTTACACTAGTCATTTTTGGGGGCCCTTTATAGCTTGCTGTTTGGTATGAGACAAGGTTCCGTGTGGAAGACCGTTCTTTGACCTTTAATGGTTTAATTTGAGTGATAATTCTGAAAATGCAACACACAGTATAACTTGCTAATATGAACCTTGATTCCAAATTTCATCAAGCATTTTGAGCGTATTGCAAGGCAAAACATAGATCCCTATCTGTTAAATTTCATTACACTGAAACAAAATGCTTTAACTATCGCTTGTCAAGGTGTAAACTACATAACAAATATCAAGTCAATATCTTAAAGCATGATAAAAAAAAAGGGGGGAAACTAATTATTTGAGTGAATTTACCAAGTCCAAGGACCATAACTCTGCGCATATTGTATTTCATAGTATTATTCATCTTTCTCAGTACATTTTTAAACTCAAATGAAATGTTGATGCAACTCAAAACGCCTTCATTTCATAACCTATCATGTATATATAAGATGTTGTGGTCTGAGATAAATGTATGACTATATTCAGGATAAGATTATCCAATTCTGTTTTAACTTACGCGGTATGTCTGCATCACTGTTGATTCTTCATGTCCGTGTTGTAAAATTTGTCTGGTCACCCAACTGTTTGCCCGTTCCAAGGGATAAAGCCATCTATCATACAATGGTCCATAGTCTTCATAACCCTCTGGGATATGATGTAGCAGGTGTGTTGTGATATTCTACAAATATTAATATTTTAAACAAATGATAAATGATAAATTCATACAGTATATACTACGTCTGAAATTATTATAAACCTTAATTCTGACTACAGTACCGATACCGGTTTAGTGTCTGTCTGTCTGTCATGATGTTACTGATGAAACTTAACACATCAGCTATACAAAACTCGAGGATGTGTGTGAAGGAAATTATTTCAAGGGAGATAATTGCACGTGCTTATTTTAATTGATATTGCAACAAGCATTAATGTATAATTATTACCATCAAAGTCCATTAATTGGAGAGAGTTGGCTTTTTGAAATTATATGACATCTTCTTACATTGCATTTCTATATCATTCAGCAATTTATCTCCCCTTAATCGTTGTTTTCAAATTATGTATTCATTTATAAGTACTTAAATAGTGCCTGATATTCTTTTTTTTTTTATTCAGCTCTCTAAGCATACTTTTGGAAAATTAGATGAGATAAAAATATACTATTTCTTATGAGGCAAAAAATCTACAATCTGATTGATCAATTACAATTAAGGCTGTTAATAACACCCCATCTAGCGTAGCAGCTAATAATAAGCAATCTTTAATTATGTGCAGAAAAATTAATTAAACCTTTAAATAAATTTAAATGATTAAAAACAATCATTTGTGTGAAACAGTAGTTTTTGAACCAATAAACAAAATATCTTGTTTCAATTCGTTGTTTTTAAAGGGAAATTTAATAATCATTTACATTTCCTACGAGAGGCATCAACAAAATGTTTTGAAATCTTATAAGAATTAAATTTATCTTGGTTGATCAGGGGTGTACTGAAATTAACTTTAAGCTGTGCCTCCTGCTGTTAATCGTGTGAAATAATTGAAATGATGAAGAAGTTTATTATTGTTTACTTGATTCTTTCAATTGCAAAATACCGATAAATATAGAACTCATACATCTAAGTAAATAAACTAACCTGCAAGGTCAAAGGAAAATCCCTTTCAAGTAACACAACTGCTGTACTTGTGTCTTCAATAAGTCCTTGAAGCTGCTCAATTGTGTAGGATGGTTGTGTCAGTCTTTTGATCACTTCAAATAAATTGAACAAGGTTTCTTCTTGTGGCTTTGCTAGGAGGCCTCTGATACACCATGCTGCAATATTCTTGGTTACGAACTGAAATAAAGTATTTATTTATAAAATGAATATGAATAAAAGAAGAATATTCACTATTATTTGAGTTTGAATTAACAAATGTGTTCTCAAAAAAAAAAATCATATCATACAACTATCTGTCATGACTGAATTAAATGTACTTTAAATAACCCAATACAATATTTACACATTCAACTTTTATCAAAGAAGTTTAAAAGATTTTTTTTTATCTTTAATGACATTAATAATTTGACACTAAATGTCATAATTGATATTTTCAATAATTCTCCTGAGTTTAGGGTACTTGACATACTTGCAATTGGTTTCCTTTAAATTCTATCTTCAAGTTAAATATTTTATTTAAATAACTTTATTGAATATTTCATATCAATTTTGCATGCATATGGTAAATGCATTTTGTTAAAATACAAAGATTCAAAGCATTTGGATGATATGATAAATATTACTAGATATAGGGCACACCTTCATTTTATATATTTAAGAAATAAAGAAAAGTGGTACTTTTTTCCAGCTTTCAAATAATTATAATATTATTTAAAATTATTATTAATTATGACAGTTATTATTTCCTCCCCTGAATTTGAAATATTTGGTACACATATTTTTTCATGTTGACTAGGCTGTTTACTGATTACTTTGTGGTGTGAGTCAAGGCTCCACATTGAACATGTTGAAGGCTGTATAGTGTGACCTAGCTTTAATTGTTTCTACTCTAATTCTGTGCTTTACTTTTGGGCCAATTGGATTTTTTTTGCCCCAAAATAATCTTTTATTTACTCTGAAAAATCATATTCAAACCTTTCCTTTATATGTTACTTGTAAAATGGTACAAATTTAGTTTTATTTTTTGGCACAAATGAAATATAACCGTGTGGCACAAATGGAAGATTGGATTTGTTAAAAATTTGCTTATATTTACTACCTAAGTCTTGCATGGAGAGTGTCTCATTGACAATCATACCACAACGATAGACATCTTGTTATGTTTATATAGATGAGTCAAATGTGTCACCAAAAAAGATCATTAATTCTCTTATATATACTTGTATGTTATTTCAGTGGTAGAAAAATATTAAGGTTTATGACCCCTTCTGTGGCCTGTGAATTAGGAACTTTTCAAACTGCAATAGTATCAAAACAGCAAAGATAATGAATAATAGAGATGGGCCATTTTGTACATATACCAAGGGGAAACTTCGTGCAAAGCATAATTATTTATAGTTTCATTGCATTTCATAGAAAAAGGGAATTTGGTGAAAATAAAATCAAGAATTTTGTAGAAAATCCACAGACTTTAGTATAGAGATTTTTGTTATAAAATTTGAAACATAGTTTACTCACTAGTTTTTCTATGAGCAGCTAGCGTTTATTGTTTACAAAAAGTCCTAAACAACCTTTAAATTCCATAACACCTCGGGCTGAGACACTAAAGTCGAGCGCACCCTAGAGGGTGTACTTGAATTGGTCCATATTTTCATTTGTTTTAACCAATATCTAAATTCATAACCTTGTTTTAAAGAATTCATTGCTAGCACTGCATGCAATAATCCTCTATCTATCAAGTACCGAATTGCCAAATATGAGAGTACAAGGGGAAAGGCTGTGGATTGTCTATAAAATTTCCATATGTTTAGCATTGAAGCAACACAAGGGTACATAATCCTTAATGTAAAATTTGCTTAAAAGGTGAAATCAGTTAAAATTTTGAAAAAAAGATATGAGACTTAAGTAAAAGACACATTTTTTTAAAGACCAATGCAACCTACTCTAAATTCAGAAATTATTGCGATGTATTCGTTATTGCGAAAAATGCTGCAGGGTTACAATCACAATAGTTTAAACTTGCATTTGGAAATATTGTATATGAATTAAACAGGATTTTTCTCTAATCGCTAAAATTTAAATCGCATTTTAGTCTAAAAAAAAGTCGCAATCATAAATGCACACAAATTTCTGAACTTACAGTATTCATATCTGATTCATTAAATAAGATATTTTCATAATCAATACCTGTTGTTTGCCATGCATTGTACGCAGTGTCCATGCTCTGGTAAAATGGTCAGCAGGTGTATAATCAAAGCCTTTAGGGTATTTTACACTCTTTGCTCTGTTGTCAGCTAATTTAACATCCTGTTTCGTCAGTAACCAAGGAGCTGCTGGCAAAGGAGGTGCTTTTGGTGTTGGTTCAGGAACAGCTGTTTCTGCCGACGATTTCTTTGCCTGTTTGGATGGTCTCTCACATGTGGCACTTGATGATGATGGTCTTTTTAGCCAGGTTTCTTTAAACCGATTATAGTCTTTTTCACATTGGCGAACTTTAGGTCCATCAGATTTGCCTGTTATAAGATCAAGAATGTTACTGATGACATCTGCTAATGTGTGCATGCCATCTGGTTGCATCTGATGCACTCTGTCAAAATATGGTAGGCGATGCAGTGGATGCATCCCTTTAAAACCAGTTTCCTTTTGAAGTTTAGATTTTTGGTTGTTGTTTTTTTTTTTGTCATATTCTTTTCTTATTTCCATTTCTTCTTCCCTTGAATATGCTTGTGGTTTGGGAGCAACCTCTTCAGTTTTCTTGGCAAATAATGTCTTGTCTTTGCGAAAAAGAGAATCTGTCGGTAAAAACTCTCTGTTCGATATGTGCAATACTTTATTCACTGAACTGCTATGGACACCTGTATCTTTGCAGAAAAAACACGCACGAATAGCTGCCTGACCAGAACAGTGTAGAAGTTTAGAAAAAGCTGGTATATCACATAAATACTGTAATAAAGCAATCTTTACATTTACTGGTGCATCTGTGTAGGCATCATACAAGTTACATTCAATGTTTGATAATAATTCGTCAACTAGAACATTAATATAAGGGTCCAGTGATTTCGGTTCCTTTCTACCATAGCCTGGAACAATACCTGCCAACATCATTGGTCCTAAAATATATCGCATTTCTTGTGGTAGTGTTATCCAGGTGATGATGAGAGGCCATATTGACTTCTGGACTGTTTGATTTTTATTTGGATTCACACCATCAGCAAAAAGAGCCAATGGCACACAGTTCTGCTGTTGCTGATCTTTGAAGACTCCATCTGTCATCTGTTGACGAAATATATTGCCATCTGTGTAGCTGCTTAGCTTGCCAGTTGTGTTGAGCTTGTTGGCATAAAGAATCTTTGCCAGGTTCTTAGTTCCATACCAACGAACTATGCGGGGTACTATAGGCATATATTGAAATGTTTTTTTGTTCCTGTTGTTTGAAAACACCAAACTTTCATTGCATTCTGGACAGGCAAGAATGGTACTGCTGATAGGAAAAATTTTACAGTCATTTATACAGCATTTAAATTTTTCTATTGGCATCAGGTATGGTTGAATAATAGTGACAGCTTCACTATAAGTGGATGGCAGGTTGTTTGGTTGCGGTAGAACACACTTTTCATGGTGAAGATACTGTGACAAAGCTGTCTTTGACATTCCATTATTAGATGAAAATATAAATAAATGTTCTGCTATTGCATCTTTTACAGTTCTAGTAGTTCCTTCATGAAGTGGCTGATTTAAAATCAAAGTCTTTTTTAAAAATTCCTTGGACTCTCTTACAATTGCAGGTTGTTCACTATAAGTGTCTGATATTTCAGCATGCCCGGTGTTATGAATTTTCTTTGAATGAGCTCGGAAAGTCTTAATGTTGACAAATTTTCCATTACATTTTGAACATGTGCATCGTCTCTTCAAGTTATCCATTATGGTGATAGTATAGCTGTGTACTTCATATGACAAAGATGTTGATGATGTCATCCTGCAATAGACAAAGAAATGACTGTTACTACTGCAGTGTTGTATGCTAATGACTTTAGAATAAAATAGAGAATGGAAATGGAAAATGTGTCCAGGTGACAACAACCCGATCAAAAATTAAAATAAAATGCTCCGCTGGGCGCACCTTGATACGACCGTAGAGGTCGAACCCTGAACAGATGGGGCAAGTATGGACACAACATTCAAGCTTGATACAGCACTGAATTTGGATTGTGATTAAATATTTGACACAGCATAGGTTTCTGACACAGAATGAATGTGGTCTAAGAACTTAAAAAAATTTAATTTACCTATTCAAACCATATCATTATTAATTGCTTTTATATATAAATCAGAAATAACCAATTTAAAATGGAAAATTTTAAAGAAAAAAAAAATCCCTCCCCCAAATTTTTTGAACCCCCTTGAAACTCAATCCCAGCCTTCCCTTTGTGGTATGGTACCTTGCAGTACAATTTCAGAGAGATCCATACACTTGAACACAAGTTATTGTCTGGATTCTAGAAAAATGCTTTTTTTTAGGCCACTTTTTGGCCCCAAATTTCCCTTTGTGATATGTAGTACAATTTCATAAAGATCCATACACTTACACACAATTTATTGTCCTGAAACTAGAAAAATGCTAGTTTTTTGCCCCTTTTTGGCCCCAAATTCCTAAAATTTTGAGGCAATTACCACCAAAATCAATCCCAGCCTTCCCTTTGTCGTATGGTACCTTGCAGTACAATTTCAGAGAGATCCATACACTTGAACACAAGTTATTGTCTGGAAACTAGAAAAATGCTTATTTTTGGCCCCTTTTTGGCCCCTTATTTCCTAAACGTTTTTGGCAATTACCCCCAAACTCAATTCCAGCTTTCCATTTGTGATATGGAACCTTGTAGTACAATTTCAGAAAGATCCATACACTTACACACAAGTTATTATCATGAAACTAGAAAAATGCTTGTTTTTTGCCCCTTTTTTGGCCCCTAATTCCTAAAATTTTGAGGCAATTACCCCCAAAATCAATCCCAGCATTCCCTTTGTGATATGGAACCTTGTGGTACAATGTCAGAGAGATCCATACACTAACACACAAGTTATGTCTGGAAGTTACAAAAATGCTTATTTTTGGTCCCTTTTTGGCCCCTAATTCCTTAACTGTTGGTACCATAACCCCCAAAATCAATCCCAACCTTCCTTTTGTGGTATTGAACCTTATGGTAAAATTTCATAGAGATCCATTCACTTAAACTAAAGTTATAGTGCGAACACCAATGTGTCTTCGGACGACGATGACGGACGAAGCCAACGTCATACCAATATACGACTACAAAATTTTTTTGCCGTCGTATAAAAACAAATGAACTTCAACAATTAATTTCAGTGGATAAAATTAGGGTTTTGATAAAAGTTTACAAAGTTTATTAATTTAAAAACACATTTGGGTCAAGAACACACAGTGTAGTTTTTCCAAAACCTTAATCTTCTTGTCAGTTATTTTAATGGTTATAACAAAAATTATATTAAAAGATCTTTTTTGTTGATGCATGAGCTCTGAGTGTTTCTTGAGAAGACACCTAGCCCATATTTGACTGTTTTTCATTAAAAATGGGGAAAAATTTAAAAGGTGTTGATATAGACATATTATATAAACGCTAACATGTAAATTTTCAAACATTTACATATTTTGTATTTAGTTGCCATTTGGTCTATGACCTATTGCAATAATGAGCTTTTAAATTTTAAGTTTATAATTTTAAAAACATTGTGAAAAAAAAAATTGTAACTTTTTTGTAAATTATTTATTATGAAGGAAGGTCTTATATTTAATAATACATGTACTGTTAATTTCATCAGTACAGTTAGAGTGTATCCCAAACTCTGTCTGACTGACAAAATGTCAGACAAAAAATTATTCGGACAGACAGAACTTTTTTTGTTTGTTTGATATATAGTAGAAAAGTTCAATTTTCTTCTTTGGTCAGACAAACCCTTAAACAGTTTGGCACAGACTGCAGTCATTGTTGACAGATGCTTAAAATTTAGAGTACATATTCTTTTCAATATATTTATTTCGATAAGAAAAAAAATAAAAAATTCTGAAACAAAATTAAAAAATCAACCTAATAAATTGCTAAACTAGTTCTGGTGCTCTTGTAATGCTTTCTAAAGGTTAAGCTTTAATTTGATTTTTTTTTTCAATTTTGTGTAGAATTTCAATGTAAAATTTAAGTTATAATCTAATTTTTCTTGGACATAATGAAATTAAGTGAATCTCATCATGCACAGACTGACTGTGGATTTTCATAGATTACCACTTCTTTTAATTCTAATGAATTATATTTTATTTGACAAATTTTGCAAATATACTGATTCACATAGTAATATATTAAGGAATATTACTGGTTAGGGCTATAAAATTTAAAGTTAATAGTACTATTTAAGAATGTAAACTCAAAACAGCTTTAAATATAATGCATCATGATGCAGGAAAATGTATAATTTACTTTTATATTTATGTAAAATCACTTTAATTTTAAAAATATTTTCAAAACATAAAACTTCTGATTGTAATTAATGCATATCAGTAACATTGTAAATATATTTGTACACAACATTTCAAATGTATTATACATTATGAAATAATTTAATGTTGTTTTGATAGCAATTAGGAAAAACAATCCATACATTTAATGATTTTGCAAAAACCTTTCATCATTTGAAGTTTCATATCAGGATATATTTGAATGGCTTCACAAACCCAATCATAAAATTAAAAACACAATAGAAATGGCATTTTCAATTCACAAGAGCTATATACATGTCAGCTTGGCATTGAAGCCATATTCATCATTATTAGAAATAACACCTGTAAAAATTCAAATAGAAAACACAAGTAGATGTTAACCAATCAATTATCATCTTTTTAACCTTATATAAAAAGTAAAACTGAATGCTTGCAAATTATTATTTGCTTGTCAACATGGAATATCAACGTCACTACCAGCCAACCTTTACACATCTTAACAATGTGAGAAGTAACAACCAGATAATGCACCAATATCAGCCAACTTATTCACTACCAACTAGTAGTAGATCTACAAGTCAGATGTCATACCAGCAAAATACGGTGAGTTGCAAATAAACTATAATAATTACTTTAAATAATTAACATGTTTGTAATTAATTTTAGGCATCAAAATCTGTCTAGTAAAGTTAATTATTTAGGTTTTTTATTTGGGAGGACGGATAGAAAAAGAGGGGGGGGGTGTTAATTACTCCGTATAAAATAATAATATTCAAACACAACCAAAAGACCTAATAAACCATTTCTACTCATTTTATTTTCATTCAATTCTAACTTCTTTATGAATATGAACATGAATACTGCATTTAAGTGTGGAGCTATTTTTTTTAATATTTTTTAATAATCTGATAATGTTGTTTAGCTTATATTATATTTTATATTTCTGAGCATTAAAAAGACCCTTTTTTGCAATATATGATGTTGTGTAGTAAAAAAATTATTGATATTTAACATTGTGGTTGATTTAAACAAGGATTTGTATAGTCTGACTATGATCCATGATTTAAATAGCAAACTTTAGCATCAAAGTTGAGATATATATAAAAAATTATACCAAAATTGTCTTCAATTATATTTAACTTATAGTATTCTAAGGTTAGGTCATATCAAAATGTTTTTGATACTTATCATGCTAATAGCTATAGACCAACAGATATCTTTATTAAATGAACACTCTCTGTGTAATTATAATTCATTTTTCAACATGATTTCTTGCATTCCATGAATCTAGGTTGTAAATTATAAAATATCCTTTTTGATATGTTATTAAAAAATGTCATTTCGGTATGGGCTCATTGTTGAAGGCCGTACAGTGACCTATAGTTGTTAATTTCTGTGACATTTCTGTCTCTTGTGGAGAGTTGTCTCATTGGCAATCATACCACATCTTCTTCTTTTAGTAACTACGGTGCAAAAAAATTAAGATCCGACCTTCTAATCTACTTTTTTTTTATCAAGATTTTGCTCTAACAAAAAATATTCATTTTCAGTCATTATTAACAAAAGCAAACAATTTCTTTTTCTTTGACAACAAAGTTCCATTAAATTTAAAAAGAGACACACTTTATAAGAGTTTGCACATACCATCAACCTAGGTCACGTGTACAGCACACTATGTGATTTAATAAGTTGTTTTTTAGCTTATTTATACCAACTTGACTTTAAGCTGGTTTCACTATTTTATTGAAATTCAGCAAAATATTATTTATATGTGTAAGTCAGTCATGTTTATTCAAGTTTTAAAACTTATAATAGCCGGTTACAATTTAAAGAATTTAATATAAATCTAAATCATTGTGAAATTAATTTTAAGTGGATATGTTATTAATGGATTTGCTTATAATTTATAAAATAGTCTTCCATACCACATCTCCTCATATTTTTTTTACATTGCATATAAATTAAAAGTGGCAAATAACATGAATAACATCATCTAAAAGTATTCAATAAATTATAAAATAGTCTTTCAAACCACATCTCCTTATATTTTTTTTATATTGCATATATTAGATTTAAAGCATTTTACCGTTTTTAAATAGTAACAAGAAAATGTTTACTTCAGTTTTTTTTAAAACAATACCACAATTCTTCCAACTTAACGCTTTTAGGCGTAACACATATATATATTTCTTTTTTAAAAGGTTAAATACTAGGGGTCCTTGTTGAAATAAAGGTTAAGATGCAACAATACTTTGATATTGTCATTAGTTATTTGGTATACTAATCTTTCTTTCAAATTAATTTATTAAAATTACAATGCATATATATATGTGTTTATTACTATCAAACATCTCTAAGCATTTTACAATTCCTACAACAAAAGTTATTTATTCCTTACTGCACAAAGTAAAAATCTTTCATAAGTCCACCTGTTGCCAAATTTAACTCCTAAGATTTATTTTAGACATATGATGTCCATGTCTATTTTAAAAGCACAATTTATAACATAATTCAGAAAGCTTAACTAAACTAACCCTCCAAGTTTATACTTATTTCAAGTTAACTGCAGCGAAATTGCATGAAAAATATGTTTTCTTATTTATACAATCAAAAGATTCACATAGTATGCTGCCATGGATATCTAGTGAAAAAGTTTAGAAAATTGTATTAAATTTCATGTAAAAAAAAATCAAATAGACAAAATAAGAAGTACAGTAAATGATATTGAGAGAATTATAATTCGGAATATGTAAGATATTTTTCAACAAATTTCTGAGTTTTACACCTGGAGTTAAACAATATACGCAAGAAATTGGAACTATGTTTTTATGTTGTGCTGTTACACCACTGTTCTAGGTTAAGTGCTCACACACATGTTTAACCCCGACCCATTCTTTATGTGCCTGTAGTCTGGTGGTTGTCCTTGGTGTATGTCTGTTATATTGGTCTTTCAGAATTGTTTTGTTATAAATTAGATCGTTAATTTTCTTACACTATTCATCTCAAGCTATTCATGTTGTGGCCT